ATATATATATATATATATATATATATATATATATATATATATATATTCATGTATATGTTTAATTCATGTCGATTTTTCGCACCTCGGCACATAATGTTCTTTCCCGTTTCTTTCGCTTAGCGTAATTCACTATGACTCTTTCGCGTTGAACCATTTTTTCGCTAAGAGAGCGTGTGGCTCTTTGCAAAATTTTGAAGCCCTCCGCGGAGTCCGCGCTAAACGGATCTCGTTCCTTTCCAAATTTACAAAGTCTCTTTGATCAACCTTCTGACGATCCTACGCTATGTCAGGAGTTTTGTATGAAAGCAACGAACTGCTTATCCCCGCTCCTTTGCTGACCTTTTCTCACCTGTCTCCAGCACGATCGATTATATAGAATCTACTTGACTACTGCACACACGATCCCTCACCAACGGATCGTACTTTCTGCTTTCTCAGATCTAATAACACTGCACAAAACTTCATAGCTTGTCCCTTCAAACTTTTTACCAACTTAGTATATATATAGTCCTTAAAGTATCTTCCACCGACCGTATGGATAGATGGATAAACGAGGAGCTGATCTAATAGAAGTAACCAATCACGAAAGGCGACCAAGGAACCTAATGTAACCAACACGTCATTATCGTCGGAGGAGCTATCAAGACATTGAGGTTGAGCTATTCAATAACGCTATCAATGCCCGAAATGACCCCTTCTAAGAAACCTCCGAGCTCTCCAATTTCCAGGACGGTCTCCACATCGCGACGAAGAAGCTTCCAACCCCTGCCAGGTTTCTGCAGCGTGCCGACCAAAACTAGTGTCGGAGCTCAGCCATCCACAGTATGTTGCGTGGCATGGCGTGAGTAACGTGCACACACTCAAAACACACTAAGAACGGGGACCTTGTGTCCCCAGCATCGCTCCTCATGGGCGCTCCCATCGGCCATGCTGCCGGAATAAGCACCAAACGGTACTGCAGGAGAATGAGCATGGAAACACAGTAAGTGGAATACTCGGGTGAGAAGTGGGGGAAATGTTTATGGAAAAGGCGGTCGTAGGAGAACAGCTTGTACAAGTCGATAGAAAAGGCCTTTGAGAAATGACGAAGTTGTATACGATTTGTTTTTCCGCTCCCCCCCTTACCCCGCCCTCTCTCTCTTTCCGCACTTTCTTTCCTTCTCCCTCTTCTTCCCTTTTCCGTGTATATCTCTCTACCCTCCGACATCCACGATTCCCATCCCGTGATACAAACCGCACATCCATGTTGATTTTTTTGCAATTCATTCACGAAGAGGACATCCCTGGAGAATGGTGGAGTCAGGTCCCCGAGGCGTTCCCTTGGATTGCCCAGTACCCGTGGCCCAACAAACCCACGCAAGCAGTCATGACCTGCATAAAACCGGAGATCATGGCAGCAGTGAAAGTTGTCTGGGATTCCGGTAGATTTCCGTTCTTCTTCGAGATGCTGGGTTTTAGTAACCTAAGTCAGTAAAATCGAGTATTCCAGAGAATGCATAGAGCTGCTAGGAAAGGTAGCAACAATGGAACGAATCTTTTTAAGAACTTGGGGTTTGAGCGATTCGCATGTGAGAGCGTCGGCCATCCCCAGGGCAAGAAGGAAGCCAGCTGCAGCAGCGCAACCTAGGCAGGCAGTCGGATTGCAGGCTCTAGAAATCAGGGAAGACGAGAGACATGAAATGGAACAGGCCATCGCAGCTATCAACGCCACAGCCGCAGAGAGAATTACCATTCCGCGCAGAGTTGGAAGGTACACAGCTGCCGAACCAGCTGGGCAGTTCACTGCGTTTGCACCCTTAGCTTCAGAGAGATGGGTATAACACACGTGTCTGGCCTACCGACACGCAATTTGGAAAATGGATACGTTCAATCACTTGTCGCCGATGTCCATAAAAGCGCTACAGTTCATAGCTGGAGTCACTGATGAGGAGGCACTCAGCTGTCAGGAAGTAGCACTTGATGGCAGTCTACTGAGTCTAGAGCACGCAGGCAGACAGAGTAAGTCCATTGAACCAGCGGATCTCAGCTTTCCACCATTGTCGTACCTGGATTCGGACAAATGCGGGGACACTCCGCCGGTGTGTTGGCAGAAGGGCATCAAGCAGCCACCTAACTTACAACTCAGGAGCCTGCGAAAAGTTTGGAGCGTAGGGAGACCGTACGTCAAATGCCAATATGGCAAGGACAACCAGGCAGACTGTCCCAGTGGACCTATCTAGTTCGACCATGCAATGTGGTTCCTGTTAGCACACCCTAACATCCTCTTTCCGAACATGTCGTCCATCAGAGTGCAAACGTCAATGCTCCTTCACTTCCTCCGCAACTCTTGGAAGCCTGCAATCCTCGATTACATCACCTTCGTCAACATCCGTCACGTCATGATGGGTCTGGCAGAGAATTTGATACAGGATGGCACGCTTGACGCTGAATCAGTCATCAAGGACCAGAGGTTGTGGGACTACAGACTACCGCCTACCTTGGCCAAGATCATCCTCCCTACGAGGATTCCGGCCAGACCAAGGAGAGCAAGCTCACCAAGGGCAAGAGCACGGAGAAGGATCAGGAACGAGTAGGCGCTGATCCCAAGGCAGGGCCGGTTCAACTTTCGACCGACACGAGCAGATCAAGCAGAACGTGTGGATCTTCCTCCTCCCCCGCTTAGGAGAAGAGTTGGCGAAGCAGGAGCAGCCCAACATGTGCAACGGGAGGAAGCGAGGCAACAAAATGCGGCAGTTGAACAACCACCTCTGAACGCTGCTCCCGCCAGTGCAAGGGAGCGCAGAAACCCCTCCCAGGGGTCTTCATCCGTCACACAGTCATCTCAGCAGCAGGATGGTAGGAGAAACGGCAAGGCTGGAGCGACGGGCAGAAGGGGACAAAGCTCGTCGATCTTCACTCCTTGAAAAGTATAGGGTCCAATGATCACAAGGGAGGGCAACAGTCATCTCGGGATCTTCTGAGAACAACCATCGAAACTGACCTCGCTCCCAGATTACCCATGAGCGCCATGGCTCCATCATGGACTCCAATCTCATGATGAGATCCGTTACGATTATGCATCTGTTGCTCTCTCCCTTTCCGTTCGTTTTTCCCTTTTTTTTTTTYTTTTTTTTTTTTCTTTCTTTTTTTTTTTCTTTTTTTTTTTCTTTYTTTYTTTYTTTYTTTYTTTYTTTYTTTYTTTYTTTTTGTCCCTCTCCTCCCCTCCTTTATCATTCTTCCGTTTTTTTATATCCTTATGACATACAATTATCAGTATGTATACAGGATGAACAAACCATCTGCATAGCTTACATTTTATAGACTTGGCCGTGTACCTCGTGATGTGATGCGTAGCAGGAACCGAAAGTGGAGCCGATAACCACTGGAGAGATGGTACGACTCCCAACTGGAAGAAACAAATGGGTCAGAGAGCGGGTAGAGAGAACGTTGTGCCTACATATGAGGTACTCCAGCCATATCATGGGAGCATTCAGCATCAGAAAACTGGTTAAGGAGATGCTGGAGAGGGTGGTAGGGGAGGACGCTGATGGATGGTTGGACGACGTCATGTTCGGATGGACCTACAATGATGCCATTGCCACCAAACTCTGCAGACCGTATGACGCATTCAAGGACTTCGATCTCGATTACTGGCTCAACAACTATAAGGAAGAGGAGTGTCACTGTAACGCAAGCAGAAATGCGCCGTTTCGGAGCGATAGCACTTTCCAGCTGAAACCGGATGCCGCCTGTGCTCACGTCATCAAGCTTGACACCGCAATCACTTCCAACAGCGCGTTGAGAGCAATAATGGGACGGGGATTGAACCACATTCCGATGAAAGCCATGGACATAAACGAAGCACTGACGGAGATTGACGCACTGCTTGACAAGCTGTTCGAAAAGCATGAGGAGATTACGGACCTGCATGACCGGCAGAAAAGGAAGATTAGATGGTTGGTCAAAGAAAAGGCGAAGCAGAGAATGAGGGCGTTCTTAGGCAACCGCATGCATGTAACAACAGAACCATTTGGCAGCAAGCAAGTGAGCAGTGAGAATAAGGCACTCACTAACAAGTTCCTGATTGCACCAATAGACAAAGCAGCCATCACAGCGGCGTTTGTGTGTGTCAACTTCATACGAGCTTTAGCCCTGAAGAGACTCTCAGGGCCGGACTTTGTACATTCTGATGAACTCCCTTACTCCGTGGTGGAGAGACTCAAGGATGAGTTGCGATGCATGAAGCCCTTGCCAGCAGGAAAGCAAGCACTTCCATACCTGATGACAGTCTATAAAGCTCACAAAGGTACGTTTCGGTGGATCACCAATATAGCTGGCACTGTCCTCTCACCTATGGCGGACATCTGTGTGTGCCTTCTGCGGTTCCTGGTCCTCAACGTGCAGGCGTACTGCAATCAGTTGGCTGAGCAGATCGAGCAGCAGCATGGCTTCAGGCCCAACATCTAGTGGCCTGTAGCATCCGTGGGCGAATTCGCTGCGAACCTGCCTGGGAACTTCTTCTCAGTATACACAGCAGACATCATAAGGTGCTTCGAAACCATCCCAACTGACGGATCGGAGCACAGCCAGCTTACGGCGGTGAAGTTTTTTGTACAGTGTGCAATGGAGCACAGGAGGGACAGGAGCACGAGTGATTCGGTCAGAGTACGAATAACCAGCAAAGGGAAGATGTTCCCCTCCTAGACAGATCCCAGGACAGTAGCGGAAGATGAATCCATCATGTTCGATGAGGACGGCATCATATGGGTGTCAAAGTAGCGTCTGTCGAACAGCTGGGTTCATATGGGTGCACATGCATGGAGGCAAGTGCTAGGGATCCCCATGGGCCTAGCCTGCTCACCGATCTGGTGCGATCTCTACTTCTTTAAGTACGAGTTTGCAGCAGTCATGAGGTTAATATCCAGACAGGAATTCGAGTTGGTACAATGTTTTAAGGACACCTTCAGATACATCGACGATATGGTGGCTCTGAACAACACTATCATTAGAGAATGCATGCAAGGCAGAGATGAAGGTGAGGGCGTAACGGGCGGGGTGCAACCCATCTATCCTGTGTAGTTCATCGAGGTAGTGGAGAACACCGTGATAACCGACGGTGAGCAAGGAAGGATTGCCAACTTCCTGAACATGACCATTTCAGTAAACTCCGTGGAAGAGGGCACATTCTCTACCACGAAGCATGATAAAACTTTGGGTCTCGGATTTCAGCCTATCCGATTCATGCGTTACAAGTCAAACAGGAGTGTGGCACAGTCATTGCAGATCCTCACTGCTCAGACAACGCTCATACTAGTACTCTGCACCGATCCACTGGAAGCGGCTGACGAACTCTTCAAAACAGTCTCGATCATGCTTGATAATGGATTTGATGAAGGAAGGTGTTGGGCAGTGGTGAAAAAGGTCCTTGCACACCCGGACAGGTATCAACCGAGTAGGGTCCCAAACAATAGAGTAAGGGAAGCAATTAGAATTAGATTTGGCGTGAACTAACTGAGTGCTGATATGTATGTGTAGATGCCCTGTATGTGCGTGTGTGTATGTGGTGTCCGAGGGGGGCGAGCCAGTTGTGAAGCTGGTCCCCACGGGCACTTGTGCTTCCAGTCTGGCCACCCCCCCTCAAGGGGAAAGGGGTGGGGCACACACACACACACACACACACACACACACACACTCACAGGAATGAAGGCAAGGAAGGCGGGAGGAGACAGATAGAACCAATAGAGCAAGGAGCACGAGAACAAGCAGCAGCTTCAGCAATCCGTGAGCACTGGCAGAACAGCTCAGACCCCTCAACTGGAGCATCAGGCAACGAATCGAGACTACAAAGTCATATCACGACCCTTTTTAATGCCGTCTCCCGTTACGGCTTCATCTATCGTAACCCTTTCTCCCTTACCCATTTCACTAGTCCCATCGGATCACTAACCATTCAATTCTTCAAGTTTGGTTAATTTTCTTTTTCCTCCTTTTTCTCTTTTTCCTTTTT